TCTAATTTTCCATCTTGGGAGCGGTTTCCTAATTAGAGATGGGCATGTGTAATCTGAATCTCCGCTTAGTAATTGTTATAAATGTGCAGCCTCAGTGGTTAGGGATAGCCGTTTACCCCAATATTTACCCACTATACATTCCCTCCTTCTAAAGGTAGCATTGCTGCTCTGAAAGTCAGCTGTCAGGCTGTTCTACCTCCTACCTGAACTCATTGGGAAAAACAGACCAAACTCTCCGTAAGCTTCCATAGGAGGGGAAGCGTTTATAAAACGATCAAATACCAAAGGCTCAGCAAAAATGACAGAGAACAAAAATGAAGGGGCTTTGTCCTGACCGTTTCATGAATAGTGTTCTGCTGCAGCAGCAGGCCTGCAGAGTGCCTGTTATTAGCATGGAGCTCAGGCAGGAGATTAGGACAGCTAAAGCGCCTCCCTTAGAGGGAGTGAAAAACAGATGACTACTAAGACAAATAGCTACACCTGACCAGCAAGATTACATCATTTTTTAATAACTTTCTGATGTCACACGATATTTGCGCAGTGGTTTATCAAATGCAGATTTTCAGAAAAAATACACGTTTAAGCGGTTGTTAAGGCTGAAAGTTTTACCTTATTGCATTCCATGCACGAAGGTAAAAAAACATTCAGTGTGCCGTATCCCTCCCCAGCCCCTTAATTCTTGCCTAAGCCTTCTCTCGATCCAGCGATGTGCACTGGAGTCTCGGCTATCCTGGGACTCCCTTTTCTTATTGGCTGAGACAGCCGTTGGCTCCCGCTGCTGTCAATCACAGCAAGTGCACTAATGAGAAGAGAGAGAGGATGGGGCCACGCCGCGGCTCCATGTGTGATTGGACACACGGAGCAGCGGGTGCCCCCATAGCAAGCTGCCTGCCAGATAGGAGGGAGGAGCCAGGGGGACCCAAGAAGAGGAGGATCCGGGCTTTGCAAAAACCACTGCACACAGCAGGTAAGTATAGGCTTTTTTTTTTCTTTTTTTAATCATGCCTTTAGAATCAATTTAATTAATTTTAATAAACACAGTACAATACCTAATTTTTTAGTAAAATATTAAAGATGATGTTAGCCCAGTAAACTGTTAGCAAACATGTCACGCTTTAAATTTGCGCACGCCTGTGGAATGACAAACTACAGTACATTAAATTATCCATAGGCAACGCTTTAAAAGCCTTTACATGTTACCTGTTTAGAGTTACACAGGTCTGATGCTAGAATTTTTTTCTCTTGCTCTGACGTCTTTGGCAATATCTCACATGTGTGATGAGATTGCCGTTTACACGTGTGTGCGGGATCTACGTGTATGTTCACATATGCGCATAAGCATGGGGCTTAAAATAAAATTTAAAAAAAATTTTTTACACTGTCCCTTTCCCTCTTTTTAAAATCATTTATTGCTGTTGAGAGGTATTCACCCTGAGGTCATCACAGAGGACAAGGGGGCACTCTTTACATCTGGAGGAAAAGAGATTTAATCTCCAAGTACGAAAAGGTTTCTTCACAGTAAGAGCTGTGAAAATGTGGAATAGACTCCCTCAAGAGTTGGTTCTGGCCAGCTCAGTGGATTGTTTAAAAAAAGGTCTGGATTGTTTCTTAGATACACAGAACATAATTGGATACTAACATTTATAGGTAAAGTTGATCCAGGGAATATCCCATCACCTCTCGGGGGATCAGGAGGGAATTTTTTCCCTGCAGGAGCATATTGGATCATGCTTTGCTGGGTTTTTTTTTTCGCCTTCCTCTGGATCAACTGTGGATATAGAATTATGATTTTTTTTTTATGGTTCAACTAGATGGACGTTTGTCTTTTTTTCAGCCAGACTAACTATGTAGCTATCACAAGAGATTAATAATTTCCCTTGTGATAGTATGGGCCATGACAGGTCCCCTTCTTGAAAAGATCTCCTCTGGCCTCCAAAGCACCTGATCAAATCAAGATCAGTTTGATTGGCTGCTTTACAAGCCTGTGACTGCATGTAAACCTAATAACCGAAACCAGAAGTGACAAAATCCTCATCGCTTCTGGTTTCAGACATCACAGAAGGAAGTAAGGAACTTCTGTTCCTTCCACTCTTCACAGTAGACTGATCAGAGTGGTTGCATCGGTCCTGGGCTCGCAGGTGGGATGGGAGAGTCCAGGAAAGGCGGCTGGAGGTGGGGGTGGGACCCCTTCTGCAAAAGTGATCAGGAGGCTAGGTAGCCGCTCAAATCACTTTTAATGCATGCAGAATTGGAGGTTGAAAAGAATGATACCAGGATCATGGTTGTAGCTGCAACCATGATCCTGGTATAACTACCACAATACGAGGTGGCATAATTGCGTACTGTGGTATTGAAGTGGAAAATATACATAGGTGTCAGATGGTACTCTTATGTGTATTGTAGTCTCTTCATTGCTCAGGTGGAGTATTCCTGTACTAGAAAATAAGCATGCCCTACCCACACCTTCATTGTGACAGATCTCACCTCCTGAGTGACCTAATATGTTTAAAGTGTGTGTAAAGACTTACCCGTTAGTTTCAGATAGGATGGGGAAGGCTTAGTCCATTTGTCAACGTTCGTTTACTGCCTAAAGGTAAAATCCAAAATTTCACCTTACCTGGCACCAGAGGTGGAAGTAAATCATCCTGTGAGGACAAATGTTCTAGTGATACTTTGGGGAGATTTCCTTTTGTTTCCTCTTACACCTCCATACCAGAAAGTGAAGCAAAATCTCCCAAAAAAAACCTTCATAGGGGTTTAACCCTTCCCTACTCTATCCAAAAAAAAAATACCATAGGAGGCTCACATAAATCTTGATGTCCTTTGTGTATTTCCTTCAGATCAATGAAAGCTTTTTGGCCATATGTCTCCTTTGGGTCACAGGAGTGCACTTTCATTCTCATATGATCCAGAGGTGGCTAATAGTGGGTTATTGCAAGGCTCTGGAAAGATCCCGACAGTATTGTCAGGATACACCCTGCTGCCTGGCAGCTGGCTTCGCCTTTAAGCAAGCATCTGAGAGCTGGAACCAGGTGTTTTGTCTCGACTACATGTTTACCTCAAAGTCGTGCAAAGGAAGTCAGGAATGGCAGCGTACAGATTTTTCTCTAGGAGTGGAGCCTCAAATAGTATCTGGTTGTCATATCTTTCATGAAGCATGAAAGCACATCTCTTTAATATATTCAGTAAAGCCGGCCATACATGGATTGAAATTTGGCCTGTGTAACAGGGACTAGCCGAATTTTGATCCAAGTATGAGCAGGCTGGTTGTACAGAAGTTGATCTACCTATGAACTTCTGTTCAACGGCCCTGTCGGGTTTTTCCTAAGCCATCAGTGCTGCAGGCTATAGGAAGTGGCACTGATCAGTGTATTCTGATGGTAGGGAAGTCCCTCTGCTGTCAGAACACAATACCTCAGCGAGGAGGATTTCCCCATCCACATCGAATGTGAAATCGAGTCTTTTTTTTTTTTTTTTTTTTGTTCAACCCGCTGGGTGAACACAAAATGGCTAATCTATTGGCTGCCTAAAGTGGTTATAATGCCTAAACATTTTTTACCTTAAAGCATAGGTTCACCTTTTAACAAAAAATAATAAATGCACATTTTTTTTGTAGGTAAAAAAAAAAACTGTGCATTTATTATGTTTTGTTTCTGGAACCTCTAAAGCATTGCACAGCGATAAGCAGACCTAAGTGTAATTGTAACTTTGTATTCGAATAAAAGTGCCAATACTACACTTGGAGGCGTTTTCTTTCCATGTTTTTTCAATACTAGAGCTTTGCTTCCAACTCTGTGAAGAGCTGCCGCAGTGTCTTTCTGGCTTGCCATACCCTGGCATCCATCCTGGCACTACCCTAGTAGCAATAGAGGTCTGGTCCCAGTAGGAGCGCCCTATGGACTGTATATACTCAGTATATCTGTGTGCTCGTACCTCTTATGGGCAGCTGACACTGATGGGAAGACTCTATGAACTACCACAGCGCCATGATAGTTCTTTGCAAAACTACAAGCCGACCGCCACAAAGACTGTTGGAACTTGTAGTGTTCTCATTCACAGAATACTGTGATTGAGTGACGCAGCCGGGGGGCGGAGCCCTGCTAGGCCACATTTTTAAAAAATTTTTTAAAAGATCCCCTGCTAGCTGTTACAATGGGGGACCGAGGGGTGCGGGGGCCGACCCGTTCGTAACATGCTACACCCTGGATATAGTTGTAACTTTACAAAAGGTGAACTTCTCCTTTGATTCAGGGGTCTCCAAACTATTGCCCTCCAGGTGTTGCGGAACTGCAAGTCCCATGAGGCCTTGCAAGACTCCCAGAGAGGCATGATGGGACTTGTAGTACTTCAACAGCTAGAGGGCCATAGTTTTGGAGACCCCTGCTTTAATGCATTCCTTGCATTAAAGTAAAAAATGTTTAGACATCAGTATCCCCCCCTCACCCCCCCCCACCATTTTACTTACCCAATACCTCATTCGATCCACATCTGCAGCTCTTCTCTCTCCTCACCTTTGCTGAGTCAGTGGGAGCGAATAGCAATCAAATTTGGTGAGTGGAGGGCGGGGCTGAGATACACTGTCTGTGTCAATAGATGCAGAGAGAGAGAGCCGGAAAGAGTGCCCCCATAGAAAGCAGCTTTCTATGGGAGTACTTTCAATGGCACTCAAACCTGGTGAGCGGGGGGGGGGGGCTGAGATCCACTGTGTGTCAGACGCAGAGAGCGAGCCGGAAAGAGTGCCCCATAGAACCTGCATTCAGGTGTTCCCAGACAGGCTGCCTTCTGTTGTGGCTGCATTCAGGTGTTCCCAGACAGGCTGCCTTCCGTTGTGGCTGCATTCAGGTGTTCCCAGTCTAGGTAACAATCCAGTCAAAAGTTTGATTAGACATGGCGACTCCTGTGTTTGTCTAGAGCAGGAAGTGGGCTGCTCAGCACAGCTCTTCTAGCATTTAGCAAAGCATTGTGGGATATTAATTAACTCAATTTATTTACCTTTGCAGCTACCTGGAGGAAGAGATCCTGGCTAATAAAGGTAAGTGTGTTTGATCAGCATTTTACTTGTTGCAGCTGTGAGTTCCTATGGCAGTAAATGGACTGTAAAGCAGCAGAAAGCTGGCTTGTTTGATGTGTGCTTCCCACCTGTTAAAGAATGTACACTTGGCTGAACTGCTTAAAGCCCCGCTTCACTTAACTGCGCTAAATATAGGTCTGACAGATCAGTCTCGTATAGCCGCCCTCAAGACTCGCACGCCGTGTGATTGCATTCAAAGTTGCGTGATGGAACAGCATTTTGTATCTTGTTCCAAGTTTGTGGTCATTACCAGTGTTTCTGATCTATTTCAAGTAGATCTATAGTCAAAACTTCAATAAAAAAGTGAGCAAAACGTCTGAAATTGTTTCCTTATTAACCCTTTCATGGCAAAGGTAGAACAGATGTTAACGCCTGACCATAGTTTTACAGCTTTGTCATGCGTTCGCAAGACTGGAGATTTCATTGCAACTACTTAGTGGATTCAGGTGGATTCTATCTTTTTTGTCTTTTCAGAACTGGGCTTTCTTTCATGGTAAATAGCAGTGGATCTCTCCTTTTTTATGTTTTTTTTTATTAGCAAAGGAAAATGGGTAGTAATAGAAAAGACCATTTTTTTTTTTAAAGTTTAGCTGTATATTTCTTGCTATTACCATAATGTACCGCTACAGAAAAAGCAAAAATAATTTCTCCTGCTCCTGACGATGCCAGCAATACCACATACGGGTATGTTGTGTTTTCCCGTAGTAGGGGCAAAAAATAATAATGCACATTTAGCTTCTTTTTATTCTACCCTAAATACACTGCAGAGTTTTTCAAGTGTTTTGGCGTTAAAAAAGCGCCTGAAAAGCTCAAGACAAACGCTTCCCTATGTATGTGAATGTAGATCTATGTATGTTTTCACACTGAGGTGTTACACTTGTGGTGTAAACTCCGGCTTGCAGCATCTTTTGGGGCATGTTTGGGGAGTTGGAAAAAAAACACTGAAATCAATGGAAAACGCCTGAAATGCGCCTCAAAAACACCTCTGAGAAACCTTTTTGGTGCAGTTTTTAAGTCATGCGTCCTTTAAAAAACGCTCAGCGCAGTAAAAACACCTATGTGTTTTTGCGGCGGATCAGTGTGAAAGTAGCCTAACTGACACTGCTCCTTTGGTTCACACTTCTGCGGTGCAGCATATTGCATGTGCTTTAAAAAAGTCCTGGATTCTTTCTTAGATGCACAGAATTTAACTGGTTACTAACATTTATAGGTAAAGTTGATCCAGGGAATATCTGATCGCCTCTCGGGGGATCAGTAAGGAATTTTTTTCCCTGCAGGGGCAAATTGGATCATGCTTTGCCGGGACTTTTGTCTTTTTTCAGCCATACTCAGTATGTAACTATATGTGGCTCTGTGAGCAACAATTTGCATGGGCACGGCAGCCCATTCATTTAAATGGACTGCCGTGTCTCTTGAAACACAGAAAAGGTCCCTGCAGCATTTTAGAAATCACAGCCCACATGGGAACCGCAAGTGCACTGCGGTTCCCAGCGTGGGATTGATTTCCAGTGTGTGCGGTGTGCCATTAGGATTGTTGACATCCACTCGCATCCAGCGGTTTTCCGTGTGGGTGGCTTTGGGTACAGGTGTGAATCTGCAGTCGGAACCACCCGCACAGATGTGAACCTAGCCTAAAACATATTAGAGCAACTACACCGCATTCCTGTGCAAATCACATGCGAATTCTGTGCAGTGCTTTTAGAGTCATACGTTTTGTATGGATCAAATCGCACCGCATCTGCACTAAAAAGGTGCGGGACCAGGGGCGGACTGACCATTTGGAAACTTGGGCACTGCCCGTGGGCCTGGGGTCAGTAGGGGGCCCGATGAGATGCCCCTGGTACCTTTTTCATAGGCTTTTTTGAGTTTGGGCAAGGACACAGGGGCCCCATGATCCCCTATTGCCCGGGGGCCCCATGAGTTGTCAGTCCACCCCTGTGCGGGACCCTTTTTTTGGTCCACACTAGAATCGGCTGGCATGGGTATTCATACCCATGCCATCTAATTCTGCACACCGCACCACGTTTTGCAAACCAATTTCAGGGTGTTGTTAACGCACACACCTGCAGCGGTTCGCATGAACGGGGTGCGATTGTGATGCGGTGCGGATTTCGCACAGAAACCACTGCAAATTCCGCACCGCACGGGCTCATACTAAATTTAAAAATGTTTTTTTTAATCCTACCTAAAATAAACTAACCCTGACTTTTGATTTGACCATGACCTTTGAACCTAACCCTGACACTGGCCTAGGTCAAACCCTGATCTAGCTATTTTAGCTTTATTTATTTATTTATTTATTTTTTTACACACACTTCTTTGCTTACATTTTTCTCCTCTAGCAAGGAGAAAAAAAGATACATTGTATATTTTTCTCCATTCAAGAGAATAAAAAAGAAAACACATAGACGGGCTCTACATTGATTTATCACTGTGATAGACAGCCAATCAGAGGCTACCACAGTGATCAGGTGATTGGGAACTAGGCTAACTGTTTTTAGGAGACCCAGGGGTGTCAGTGACAGCCTGATCTCTGTGCTGGGAGCATGCTGTGCTGCTTGCTCTCAGCAGAAACACTGGTACACATATATACAGCCTCATTTCTGTGAGGCTGCATATATATGTACAATTGGCGGGAAGGGGTTAAACAGCTGACTGGTCACATAGAGCAGTTCTAGGATTTTCTTGCAAACAGCAGATAGAAATTGCATATCATTCCTTTGACATGTCCTGGTAGTTTAAGATTTACCCATGACAGCATGGTTACAGAGGTGGGGCCTAGTGGGTTGGAGGTGGAGCTTTGTGCATATTGCACGCAAGTTTGTGAACAGTCTGTTGAAATTTGTAATAATATGCTTTGCAGGCTCTAATGATGTGAAACACACCCACAGTGAGCCTTACAGCCAAATTAAAAGTAATGCTGTGTCCTATTTATTCATGCGAAGTGCGAATCATAAATTCTATTATTGAGGCTTAAATGTCATTTACAATTATGATACCCCCTCTGTGACAGCGCTGGGACCTGGTGACTGGGCACTCAGTGCTGCAAAGGGACAAGGCAGGTGAGTGGCTGATGCATCTCTATACACAAACATCCAGGATTGGTGAGAGAGCTGTGGTGACGATAGTGGCGTGGCAGTTACGACAAGGATAGAATCTTATTTTTTGTTTTTATTCCTCCATACAAGTCAGTGTGAATACATCGAGGACACGTCCCTAAATGAATAAAAGCTGGCTATACACTAGTAGATTTTCCAGTGAAAGTTAGTTCAAAAATTTGTATGAATATTTTCAGTACATTTTATGGCTTGATGAGTGTTGTTAGAAAGTAGTTAAAATTTAGTTTACTTTTAACATCTGATTTTGGAATGAATTGATGTTACTGAATGAAAACCACATAGAGGCGTAACTTGGTTTACAAATTTAATGTGTTCTCCGGGACGTTTCTTATTGCAAAAAATTTGTAAACCGAATGCATTGAACACCAATTAATCCGTTCCGGAGGTCAGAAAAAAGTTTAAAAAAAAGTCTTATATGTTCAAAACTCTTTATATAGTGCACTTTAAAGGCATAAATACTGTACAGGGACATGATTAAAAATTAATTTGTAAATGCATTGAAAACCAATTAATCTGTTCTGGAGGTCAGAAAAAAGTAAAAAAAAAAAAAAAGTCTTAAATGTTCAAAACTCTTTTTAAAGTGCACTTTAAAGGCACAGGGCTGGCACTATAAACCTCCCAGGTGCAATGCATTCTGGGGAAACTTCGTATTGCAAAAAAAATTCGTAAAGCAAGGCATTATTTTCAGTGGATTTTCATTTGTAAACTGAAAATGACGTCAACCAAGGCATTTGTAAACTGAGGTATGCCTGTACACTGTTAGAAATTCAGTTGTTTGAGAAAAATGTTCCACCTGCTCCTTTGAGTTTTTTCTCGTCTCTGCAGTCGAAAAGGAACATCGAACTTTCACCTCACTAACAATTAGAAAAACGAATGTTCCTAAAACAAATAATTTCAGATGAAATTCTGCTAGTTTATGTTTGTCTTTAGACTGATCATATACAGACCACTGTTTTTGCTTCTGACTAGTTTTCAAGTTTAACCAGTTCCCACCCAGCCAGTAACAAGATAATGACCAAGCAGGACTTTCGTTGATCCAGGTGGACATCGTATGATGTCCTTCTGGATCGCCACCTAGTGCCATTAGTACAGTGTCAGTGATTTTTTTTTTTTTTTTTAGCACTGATCACTGTATTGGTGTCACTGGGGATGTCAGTGACACCAAGTCAGTTCCCCCCAGTGTCAGAATGTTCGCCGCAGTCCCGCTATAAGTTGCTGATGGCCGCCATTACTAGTAAAAATTAAAAAAAAAAAAATCCCAGTATATATAACGACATTTGTAAACGTTCTAACTTTTACTTGAACCAATTAATTTACACGTATTGGGATTTTTGTAGCAGAATACATTGTCATAAATTTGACAATTTGATTTTGAAATTTTTTTTATTGGACATGTTTAATAGGAAAAAGTCAAAAATATAATTTTTTTTCTCAAAAGTGTCTGTCTTTTTTTTTTTTTTTTGTATAGCGTAAAAAATAAAAACCACACAGGCAATCAAATCCTGCTGAAAGATCTCAATTCGTGGGAAAAAAAGGATGTACATTTAATTTGGGTGTAGCGTTGCATGACTGTGCAATTGTCAAAGTAACGCAGCGCTGAAACTTAAAAAATGGCCTGGTCATGAAGGGGGTTAAATTCTCAGGAGGGCAAGTGGTTATTGAAAAAATGGCATAACAAATCAATGTATGTCAATACACTCACATGTAGTGATGCCCAAATTACCAGCACCAGTTTATGCAGCTTGTATATGTACAGGATCTCCCAGAAGTGAATACACCCCTCACATTTTAGTAAATATTTGATTCTATCTTTTCATGTGACAACACTGAAGAAATGACACT